CCAGAACCAGAGATCATCCACTCCAATTAAGTGTTGGGAGAGTGAGAACAGACAAAAGAAAATCTTTCTTTACCCAGCATGTTAGTCTGTGGAACTCCTTGCCACAGGATGTGGTGATGGCATCTGGCCTAGAGGCCTTTTAAGGGGGATTGGACAGATTTCTGGAGGAAAAGGCTATCACAGGTTACAAGCCATGATGGGGATGTCTAATCTCCAGGCTTAGAAGGAAAGTACATCCAAATGCCGGATGCAGGGGAGGGGGATCAGGAGACAGGTATCTAGTTGTCTCATGTGCTCCCAGAGGCATTTGGTGGCCCCAATATGAGATACAGGAAGCTGGACTAGATGGGCCCTCGGCCTGATCCAGTAGGGCTCTTCTGATGTTCTTATGTTCCAGCTTTGCAGTTCTAAGATAATTATAACAGGATTTCAACCAGTATTGAAAAGACAAATGCGGCTGCAATTAAATATATTTTGAGAAGCCTCCAAATGAAAAACAAACTTAAAGGCACATCAGAAAATATGGGTGGGGGGGGAGAGGCAACCAATTCCCAATTAAAGCCTTTGTAAAAGGCCTGCCTGAACAAAAACTTCTCCGCCTGCTGGTGGAAGGACAGCAGGGAGGTGGGCAAGCCTGGCCTCCCTTTAAAGCAGGGGTCTCAAACATGCGGGCCCCCAGATGATAGTTTGTGGCCCTCGCCTTGCCTGCCCCCCCAAAGCGCCCACACATCCTCTGCTGTCAAGAGCCTCCAAATGAAAAACAAACTTAAAGGCACATCAGAAAATATGGGTGGGGGGGGAGAGGCAACCAATTCCCAATTAAAGCCTTTGTAAAAGGCCTGCCTGAACAAAATCTTCTCTGCCTACTGGTGGAAGGACAGCAGGGAGGCGGGCAAGCCTGGCCTCCCTTTAAAGACAATTCAATAGCTTGGCCCCAGGTAAAATGAGTTTAAAACCCCTGCTTTAAAGGCAATTCAATAGTTTGAGAGCAGTCATCTTTCATCCTCACCAGCATGCCTATGAAGATGGAAAGTGAAAGGAAAAGTCTTCCTGAAAGATCTTAAGACCCAGAGAGGCTCCTATCAGAAGATGCAGTTCTTTAAAAGCCTGGTCCCAATTGGTTCCGGATTTTATAGGCCCAAACCAGCACTTTTAATGAATTCCAGAAATTGACCAGTCGACACAGTGAAGTTGTAGTAAAGTGTCACAGCTAGATGTTTGTATTTTGATAAAAGGAAAATAACATAGGCTTTCCTCCCCTTCATTTTCATGTCCACTGATTTTTGAAAGATGGGCTCTACAAAACAAACACTTCCTGTTAACAAAAGAGGGAGGCAAAAGAGTAGGGTTTGTCCCCCTGCTTCCCTCAATTGTTTAACCTTTCTTTCACTCCCTGTCTGTCAAAACATCTTGGAAATTTTTCAACCAATAGCGTTGCCAGAGCTGGCAGGAGGAACTGGAATTTTGAAGCTATTAAAGGGCCTGGATTGGGTGGAACCTACCGAGAATGTTCTACTGCTATTTCTTTGCTTTGCTTTTTCCTTGTGGTGCGCAAGCTCCTGGCACACTCCATTTTATATTACCCAACTGTCTCTGGTTTCCTATGCCTCGCTTTATGTTGAACCCTTCCTCCTCCTCCATGGGATTATTTTTGCCCCACCCCCCAATTTCTTTGGGGATTTTTTGTCTTTTGGCCTCTTAGGGGCCTTTCCTTTTAAGGATTATTTTTTCCTGCCTCTCCACCTGCTTCTGCTGCTGTACTAGATTCAAAGAAGACAAGTAGTAGCAAGGAGAGAGATTTGTTTATTTTCTAAGTCACTTTGGTTTCAGGAAGGGGTGAATTGATTGTATGTTTACCTTTATTTGTTTGCTCCCTCAGTCACTTTTTTGAGAGAAGGTGCTGTGTGTGGTGGTGGTGGTTGAATTCACTGTGTATTTATTCCTTTATAGGTGTATGCCATGGTGGGTGAATTGGGGGACCATTTGCTTTGGTGGTGGTGATGATGATCAGTTGTACTTTTCCCTACTTTTGGAATAGGGCTTAATTTGGACTAGCACCAGAAATATAAGTGGGGGGGGAATTGTATGAAATAACCTGAAAGAGGTGACCCCCTTCATGTTTAACAAAAGACTGATGCACAAAAACCATAAAAATGAAGGAGGGGCCCTCTGAACGAATCTGAGACAAAACAACAATGAAAGTTTTTGACAGGCACCTAGTTCTCTGTAACCAGATCTGGTTAGCAGTCTGGCTGTGGCATCTTGGCCCTACAAAGGCAGGTAAAGGTAAAGGTAAAGGTTCCCCTTGACAATTTTTGTCCACTCGTGTTCGACTCTAGGGGGCGGTGCTCATCCCCGCTTCCAAGCCATAGAGCCAGCGTTTGTCCGAAGACAATCTTCCGTGGTCACATGGCCAGTGCGACTTAGACACGGAACGCTGTTACCTTCCCACCGAGGTGGTCCCTATTTATCTACTTGCATTTTTACATGCTTTCGAACCGCTAGGTTGGCGGGAGCTGGGAGAAGCGACGGGCGCTCCCTCCGTCGCGTGGATTCGATCTTACGACTGCTGGGTCTTCTGACCCTGCAGCACAGGCTTCTGCGGTTTAGCCCACAGCGCCACCACGTCCCTTCTAGGCAGAGACAACATTAACTAATAATACAGGACATGCTCTCGGATTGGGATGGCATTATTATCCATTACAGTATCTACATGATGTAAAAGTCAATGCAAATCAGCCTGGAGATTCCCCCCCCCCCAAATCTATAATTTTTTTTTCCTGAGGCTTCTACCCTTTCGGTATCCGTTTCGATTGGTTCAGGCGATGTGATTTCTTGATTCAATGTGGATGGATCTGAACTCCTCTGTGTGTATTAACTCCCAAGATGGCCTCTTCCTCTGTTGAACAGTTCTCTTACATAGGCAGTTACTGTACTTCGGTTTTCGACTGGATCGATCCACCTGGGCCAGCCACTGAGCTCTCTTTGACAGGAAAAACTATTCAAGATTTCCTGTTTAGATTGAGTGTTGTCTGAAAAAGACGTTCCTGGCTCTCATGTGTGTGTATACGTATGTTGCACATTCCTTAATTCTGACTCCTGGCATTGTTTCACTGGCTATATTCCTTGCTTTCAGCTCCTGGTCACCTCTGAACATTGCATAAGCCTCAAGTGTGACAAAAGTGCTAAGAAGCTTCCAAAGAATTACAATATGGAACCATATTGGAAAACCACTGGATTAGATAATGCTCACAAATTACTCCTCATATTTCCAGAATTGTATACTATATTCTTATAAAAGAAAGGTTATATATAAACTAACTATATGTATAACACATTCAATTGTAACCAATTTCCTATCATCCCATATCCTATAACATATTATATATGCTGTATAACTAAATGTGTTATTGCTATAACAGCCACATCCTCATACACAGTGAAACAATACTTGCAGAGAAACCATAAAATATATTTTACAAGCAATCTCCATATGATGTACAGTGTAATCGGAAAAATATTCCATTTGCATGAGCAATAAAAATATTATGGACTCACTGGGAATTTTTCTTGAATATAAGCTTTGAGCCTAGTCAACTTAAGTCAATGGGATTTGTGATTTCAGCAAGAGAAAGCTTTGGTACAGGGCCTTATTATGACCAAGAAGAAGAAGAAACCTCAACACACAAAGCAAAACAGATCTCCCTCTTTCTTTTTTTTAAACCCAGAGCTGCCAGTGAATTACTTCCATTCTAATATGATTTAATCACCAGGAGGGTCAAACTTAACATGGGAAGATATTTAATATTATGTAGAATCTCCAATTCTCTCCAAGGACAGGAAAAGGGTGCTTGTTAATTTGAGCATGCCAATTAATCAACATTCATGGTCTAAATTTATCTGTTGTGTCACACTTTGGCTGAGTTTTTAAAAGAAGAAAAACAATGGTCAGTTCATGGTTGCCATATTTTTATGGGCCCTTCCTGTATATATATATATTTATTTAAATAGCAACCTAACACTGCTGTTAATTTAGCAGGTGGTGCTTTTCCTGTTAATTTATTTATTTATTTATTCCATTTATACCCCGCCTATTGACCACTCTAGGAGGCCTACAACACAAAACACAAAATACAAAAACAATATATAAATAAAAAGGAATTTGTACACAATTAAAAATTCTATAAGATGGAAAAGGGAAAAACGTAATAAAGAAAGCAAGGGAGAGGTCAGGGATTAACTGGGGGGGGGGAGGCCTGCCTAAACATCCATGTTTTCAGTTGTTTCTTAAAAATACCCAGCGAGGGAGCCGTGCGAATCTGTGGAGGCAGGTTGTTCCAGAGGCGACCCTGTTACATAGGGTGTGAAGATTTGTGGTTTTGGACTACGACTCCCACAATTCCCCAAACAACATGGCACACTTCTCATAAAGCATCATTTCCTTTTCTGGTGCTAAAGGCACAGGAGCAAAGCCACAGGAAAAAGACCGAAAGAAAAGCCCCTGGCTGTCTAACTGGCAACCTGAGAATTATGCCAGTCGTGAAGCTGCAACCATGGTTTTTCCCATTTTGTAGCTTAGGCCCTGATTCTGTCACCCAACGTGGAGAAGACACCAACCTCTGCTTCTTCTTCTTTTACCTCATTTACACTCCCATGTCTGAGGAAGTGGAGTTTGAGTCTCCAAAGCTCACACACCATTACCTGTATTAGTCTTTTCTACAATATTTTCTTTCTCTCTCTCTGTCTCTCTTTCTCTGGCACATCCTTTGGCTTTCTTACCTCCTATTCTGGTTGCTTCTTCCCACCAGAGCAGCCGGGGAAGATGGCCTGGGTGGGAGTTGCTGCCCCATGTTATTGTACTATTTGTCGAAAAGAAAACAGTGACAAGGTTCTTTGGCCAGAGCCCCCCAGCCTCAGAGCCTACCAAATAGATGCTGCGGGCTCATGAAAACATTCACTAAACATTTAAAAATGTTCATGCAGATTAGATCAGAGTATACCTGCTCTTGGTTCTTCTTCCTCAGTTCAGTAGTGGGAGAGATATTACACTCATCTTTTTCGAGGCCCAGAGATTTGAATGCAAACAACGGTCATTCCACTGTCTTTTCAAAAGGCTACTTGAGATGTACTTTCTATTGACTTAATTATCCCATAATGAATTTCCTTCATTGGGCTCAGTCTGCATTCAACTTTGACTGAACATCAGGCTTTGCATTAAGAATTCAGAAGCCAGCTATTTTGTATATCAAATCTAAACTCACGAAGACATGTGACTCAGAAAGAAGCATTGACAGCATGCCGAATTGAAAAGGTTTTCAGATTACTGTTAGAAAGATGAATCACAACATTTTCCAGTCTGGCTTGATAACACAGTATAAGGGGGAAAAATAACTAGACAGGTCAAATTTACCACCTGAGGCCGAAGATCCAAATCACATCCCTTGGTACTAGATGATAATATGAAACTGATAAGGGTAACTCCACATGCATTGCAGAGTTGCATGATTTATAACAGTGTAGAGTTTTATCTAAAGGAGTATGTAGCATGGAATAAAAAAAATCATTGAAGCCAGAAAGGTTCCTTCAAATTCCTCCAAGAAAATACAAAGAAATGCCCTTCTCGTGACTTTTGCTGCTCTTTTACCCATATGAAGGCAATGAAATGTTGCAGCACATTGCCAGGAAGCAGGTGAAGGACTAAATGTGGTCACCCTGAGGTCTCGTTATACAGCTGCAGCGTATAAACTCCCGTTACCTTTAGTGGGAGTCGTTCCCATTCAGCTGTTACATCTACTTCCTGCAGGATGGACAGAACTAAATGTGGATCTCCAGGTCTCCATAACAGGAAGCAATGGGAAAACCCAGCCTCGCAGAGAAATGAGTGATGAAGTGAAAGAGGATTATGTGGTAATAATGGTGAAGGTTAGATCTCACAAAATCATCAGTTTAGATGTTTATGGTGGAGAACAAGGTCAGGCAGCACAGCCTAGTTAGGCAACTTCAAAATAAACTTTCAAAAGGCCGTTCTGTATCAAGTCTTTATATATAGTTCCCTCTCCCCTCAATCTCTCTCTCTCTCTCTCTCTCTCCATTAATAAAGATTGGTATGCACAATTTAAATCCAGCAGGAAAACAATTGCAGAAACGCAACCGCAGGCATCATTTCATAAAAGCCTTTATCCACCTGGCACAAACGTAATGACATCGTAAAGCTGCATAGGGAAAACACATTTTCAGGCATCCAATTCACATGTTAAGATCTATCACAATGAGCTTTGGATAGATGATGAAAAATTTCCAACCGAGGAGAACATGGTTTTTTGGACTACCATTCTTGACAGGCGACCAAATAAAAATTTAAATTAGTCAAGTGTTATCAAAAGATCTATAATCATGTGGATTTTTTTTTAAAAAATAAAAGCTTTGCATAAAGGACAGACGAGGCAAACATCAGTCATCCATGAAGACCATCAGCATTGGCTTTGACATTTCTGTCCCCTCGCCTCAGTAGCCAGCAGGCAAAATCTGTGAGGGTCTCTTCCATTCTGAAAGTTAATTCAAGACCTCTGACAGAGGTTTTGTTACACTTCTGGCGCAGAGTAAATGAAGACACTTTACCAGTTCTTCTTTGATGGTTATATTTACATACCGTATATGTACACTTATATACAGGCAGGTCTCTACAGCACATCTAGAAGTATTCACACAGTCCGACAGCATGCGTGGCAGAAAATCACATCAGAAGAAGAGAACATTCTACAGACACAGTCCATATTTATACATAATCTTGTCTCTGTCCAGTCCAGTTGGGTTCCAGGTGACCTCATCTCTGCACCTCGGCTCTTTCTGGTTTCACCTCATTGCATCAGCTTAGGATGATTCAGCTTTTCTCTCATCTGCACATAATGGCAGTTCGTTAATGAAACATATATGGGTTCAGGCCTATAAAATTCTATACCCTGACAGGTTTCTACCCCTTCCACTGATATCCTACTGGGACTGTTGATGGAAAAGCACCAATGCATGTAACAAGTAACTGGATAAACACTGGTGGCCATGATGGCAGTCACAGACTTTTGGCCAGGTGAGTATCTTACCCTCTCTTGTCTCTCCTAAGTGACCATCCAATGGCATCTAAATTGCTTCACTCCCTCTTTCCTGGCAAGCAGTTATTTTTTCTTTCTCCTTGTTAGAAGGACACAACCACATATGAGGCCTCCTCCATCATGGCCACCTATGCACAGAAAGCAAATCTAGGAATCTCAGTGCCCAAGTTTAGGGTGCTTTTCCCCATCTGCACAATCTCTGAATGAATTTCCAAAAGTAATATATGTACATTTTTTTAATTTTTACCTAAATAAGGGTTTCCAGGTTAGTTAATCTTATTTAACTGTCACAGGCTCATTGAAATCTTGCTAGCATAAATATCAAATATTTTGACAGGGACACTGTTCATAGTACCATAAAAATTTTCTCTACATCAGAGAGGACAGGGAGGTATACTTGAACTTACCAGAATCATCACACAGAGGGAAGGAGGTAGCAAGGGGAGCTACAGCACATAGTTTTGACTTCCATTCCTGCCTTGTTTGTTGTGTGCTTCCAAGTCATGTCTAGTTTTCGGCAACTCTAATACTGTTTTCAAAATATATGAGATGTCTAAGGGCTGATTTACCATGGCCACCTCCCAGCGAGTTTCCATGGCTGAGCAGGGATTTGAGCCTAAGTATCCTGAGTACTAACTAGTCCACACTATCGACTCTCCTATTTTGGCTCTCATTCCTGCTAAACTATAATTTAGAAAGTCAGGAAACATACGTCCGATTTAGATCAAAGTGGGTAACTTGGCTGATGGAAACCCTACCCTGTGTATTATGGAGATAAGGCTATGGATGTGGGCCACAATAGCAAAAGAGTCCCACATTTCACTGGAAAAGGAACCATGATCAACTTGGGGTTTAGAAAATACTATCCTTTTCCGCAAAGTAAAACGTGGTTCCAATCAACTGCATGCAGAATGGGAATGTTCTCCAGATAAAAGAACAGATCAAGAAACAATGCAGAAAACAGATGGCCCAAGGAAGAAGGAAGCCTAGTGTTGTCCGTGTGTGCGCGCACGTTCATCTTAAAGTAAAAAAAAAAAAGACAGACTATAAACTGCACTGCAGACTTGCGAATATGTATGCACTTGTTTGACTAACATGTCCCACTCCCCAAAGAATCCTGGGATCTAGAGGTTGGGGAGGCTATTTATCCCCCAATCACTGATACAGGATCACTGTTCCCAGAATTCACTGGTAAGAAAGAACAGTTTAAATCAGCAGCAGTGGTATGTGCTGAAAGGAACATTTTAAAAAAAGAAAGCTGAAACTGAGTCATGTATCTGTAATCTGGCTAATTGTATTCACATTCTGAAAACGACATGGGTTTTAGATTTGTGCTAGTAAAATTTTAACTCATTCCTCTCTCATTCGTACAGAAATACGTGAATGAGTAAGGGACTATATGATGACATTCTCCAGTTTGGACTTTCTAGGAAGATTTGTGATTGGCATATTGTTCACCATGCTAAACGTCTAGGTTCTGGACATCTTTTTCCACAAGCAACCACACAAATGTTACTGATCCTCCCCAACCCCAGCAGACATCATTACTAATATTTTATTTCATCATCATCATGCAGGATGAAGACAATAAGCTTTAAATGGCTATAAAGTCTTAATGAACTTAAACAACAAATATCATTTGACAATTCTGGTTGTGAGTCAGGTTTCTTGAACATTTGTTTATCATCTGGCAACATGAGGTTTCGCTGAAAACGTATTTAATTCGCAGCTGGAGCTGGGCACAATTTCATTGATTCCATCAAGGAGTATACTTTGGTACATGAGTTCCATATAATCCTAAGTGTAGTTACTACAGAGTAGGTCTTGTTGGACTTAGTGAGGGACTGTGCCTGCATAAAAATGTTTAGGACAGTTCTGCCTACAACAGTATCCAGGTTCCTTTCCTTTCTGGATGTTTATACATGTTTCTCACTTGTCACACTTAAACGTTCCCCTCAAAATTAAAAACAACAGATGATCCAGCTAAAATTAAGTCTGGCTACTCCCATGAATTCTGATGCGACAGGTAAGCATGCATTTCAGTCTCTCTCGTGGAAGTGCTGTTCAAATCTGAATCAAATTCGCTGGATCCTGTGCTCAAAGATGCCAGTTTGCTTATAATGAGAAACTATGGTTTTCTGCTCTTGTTTCCCACGTTTCCTTATTATTTCTTCTAACTTTAAACAAAGTTTTCCATGTCATATGAACCCAAGGAACAATGGTTTGTCTAAACCATTGTTACTGAGAACCGGAGATTGGCACTAACACATGGAATCAATTACATTGCAAGTGGCGAGTGTCTTTTTAAAAACTAAAGTGATTGATTTAAGTTTGTGACTTTTTGTTGTTGTTGCATGAAAATTTCTTCAGCAATACCTTACACATTTGTGTTAGGCGTGGAAGAGAGAATGCAGGAATAACAGCTTGTTCTCGAGGCAACAAGAATGCCAGCAATTGAATTGAGTATCACTCTACATGAATAATAATATTATAATAATAAAAGATCTGACTGTCACTCTAACCCAGGCTTGCTTGAAAACAGGAAGTAAATGTAGGGTTGTCAAGCTGGTCTCTGTAGCCTTTCAAAGACCACAGGCCTGAAAGGATGGAAAGAGGAGGACCTAATTATTTCACTGGGGGGAATGAAGATGTTTAGTGTCTGTGCTAGACCGGGTGCAAATGTGTGTGAGAGAGATGGGGGGGAGAGAGAGGGAAGGAAACAATCACCAATTTGAGGAGGGGATTATAAAAGAGAACAAGATGAAAACCATTAAAATGTTTATTTCAAAAAAAGTTGGGGAGGGACATTGTGGTCTCTGGGGCCATGCACACTATAAAATTTTGGAAGTCAACACAGTTAATAGCAGCATTTAAACTCCTACTCAGTGTAAAAAGGCCAATTTCTGCAAATGAGTTCTGTTTAGATTTTAAAGGAAACCACATCTACCCACAGGGAAGCCTGGGTTGCTCTTTGATTACTTCTCTTAAAGGGACATGTCCTGCCTATCAATGCTGGGGCACTCAGCATTCCTCTGAGAAATACATTCCATGAGCAGATACAGTATGTTCAACTAAGAATGAATCCTATT